GATCATATTAATGCAAATTGCATAAAGCAGCATAATATTAAGATAACATTTTGTGTATTCCTTTTAGAAATGCACATGTATATTTATTGTTAGTACGTATACTGATGGCAAACCACCTCCTAGTGCCGAGTGGTTCTGTAAATGGTTAGAGGAATCATCCAATGACTGCCGTGTACCTAAGTCTCTTCTTCAAAATGTAAAGTACACTGTATTTGGACTTGGGAATTCACTGTACAAAGATCATTTCAATATGGTAAGATATTTTCTGTTTCAGACAGTTCACAACTGTTATTGATAGGTGTTGCTACAATGCTCTGGACTTGCTTAGCTTTCTGAAATTTGTCGATTAAATTAGTTTCCAATCATAAATTGAGAATAACATACATGCAGGTACACTAGGACTGAGGGAAGACCATGAACTTAGAAGAGGGTAACCATAGAAGATAGTTTATAACCMTTGTTATACTAACTAAAGGTGTTGTTGCCAGTAATAGCATTTAATATAAAAGCTTGTTACTTTGATAGACTGGTAAAGACATTGATAACTGGATGAGCCTTTTAGGTGCAGAGTGTGTTCTGCCTCTTACACTTGGAGATGAAAACCATGTTAACAGTCAATATGGTGGTAAGTTGTTTTCAAGCTTATTGGGATCATTAAGGAATATCTTTGGCGTTTGTTCTTACATGAAAGATTTGTCAAAATAAKTAATTGTGTAGCATAGCAAAAAAATAGATGTGTATAATTATTGTTGTTTTTATTTCAGGGTTGGAAGCTGATTTTCAGGATTTCTGCTTCCAGTTCTTCAACTATCTCACAAAGCCTAGTATGTGTGCTTGTGGGAGAAATGACCAGTGTACTGAAGAGAAAAATGATGTTCCTAACACTGAAAATGTCTTATCTGATTCCTATGAGGTRAACATTGGATGTCTTGAAAACAATTGTTATTTTCTTAATGTTAATAAAGMTTTTCTTCATTGATTTTTTAGATATTGTATGAAAGTTCCAGTGAAGAAGAGAAAGAKAAAGATGAAAAAGAAGYRAAGGAAGTGAAAGATTCAGGAATGGTAGACCTAGAGGACTTGGGACCTGCTATAAGGAAGATGAAAACAGCAAAAGAAACTGAAAAAGGATTAATATCAAATGGTATTAGTATTAACATATAACATCATTCAACATACTGACAAATGTCAATCATGTTCAACCAACCAATGCCATGTAAGCAAGGATCTTGTTCATTATTTTTTCATGGTGGGTTTTATGTAATATGTTTGAYAGCTGTMATTATGTAATGCACATATCTGCATRAACTTGAGCTTTATTGCACTTTTATTATAATCTGTTTGTTTTTAATGTTAACAGTGTCACTTTGTGGCCCATATTAGCTTACAACAACAAAAATAATGAAAATATCTTGATCCAGTGTAGTCCAATGATCAATAAGATATAATTTATTGTTATCAAGAGTGTTTTGTAGTGAATCATTGTGTGTGTATTTTACTGTATATTTTCAGAGCCAAAGGAAATGGTGACTCCAGTGATTAGACAATCTCTCACAAAACAAGGTAAGGAATGATATTTATATTTCAAAGGTGTAAAAAAAAAGCAAATTATTCTGCTAACCTGTTTAAGGTAAGTAAAAAGTTAGGTAAATAAAAATCTTCATATTTTTTTTGCTTTTATTCTAGGATATAAAATTATYGGTTCTCACTCAGGAGTTAAGCTGTGTAGGTGGACAAAGGTACAAATACAGTATAGCACACATATGATATGATAATGTTGTGTGTTTTCATTGGATTTGTTGTATTGTTTACATAGTCAATGATGCGAGGAAGAGGTGGATGTTATAAACACACATTCTATGGTATTGAAAGCCATYGCTGCATGGAGACCACACCCAGTCTTGCCTGTGCTAATAAATGTGTGTTTTGCTGGAGGTAAATGAAAATTTTAAGAGTTTGAGCATGAAAAAAAAGAAGTCACTCCTTTATATTTTGAATCCAAGGTTTTCAAGCCTTTGGAACTTTGCTGAGCCTTGCGCTTTTTGAGAAATATTGTTATACCCCTAMCTCTACAGAAAGCTGAATGAAATTATGTCCAGTTTTAGTATTTTGTAATTTGTATGAGAAATACTGGATATATCTGTGTTCTGGTCATGTTGCAGGCATCATACCAATCCAGTTGGCACAGAATGGAAATGGCAAATGAATGAGCCAAAGATGATAGTTGAYGGAGCAATGCAAAATCACTTTAACATGATCAAACAATTCAAAGGTACTGTGTTTTTTATCAATTGTGTTTAAAATGTTTAAAAATTATGAGTTAATATTAAATTTTTTGATACTTTAATTACTGCATCCCATGCAACTCTTTCAATGTTTGGGCTTGGACCTACAATCTACAYGAAGTACATTTAATGTGTTTTTATGAGTGCATATGCGGAACCACATCTTGGGAATTCTGCATCTTCTGCATCTTGAGCAAATTTTCAATGTGATAATGCATATTTGTATAAAATTTTAATTGATAAATAATTTTTCTCAAGAAATCCAAAAGTAGGTTATTTTACCAAAAAAATATCAACCAAAACATACAAAATTCAATCATAATCAATGTGTACCCCCCAAAAAAAAACACTCCAAGACGACACTAATGCTTTTTCAATTTTCATGTTGTATTTGTTTAGGTGTTCCTGGTGTAAAAATAGAAAGATTTAATGAAGCAATGAAGATCAAACACTGTGCATTATCTCTTGTAGGTAGGTTACTGTACTACATTATCCCTTGAAGGTATGTTACTGTACTACATTATCCTTGTATGCAGGTTACTGTACAATATTTTGTACTGTACTGTTACTGTGTGATTCAGTGTTGATTATTGCATTTCAGGTGAACCAATCATGTATCCTAAAATCAATGAACTTGTTCAACTCCTTCACAGTCATGAAATATCAACATTTCTGGTGACTAATGCACAGTTCCCTGATGCTATAAGGTATGCTCACTATTTTGCACTTGTATACCCTCTTCATAGCATTACTTGAACAGATTATAGTGTCTCTTCTTTTTTTATATTCCTTTTCTCATTCTTGCTTCCTCATATCCATTGATTTCCCATTGCCATTGTATTTTTCTCATTTTGGGTACATTTTCTTCTATACTAAATTCTGAAAAACATGTAACTACTGTTTGTTGATGTGAATATTGTTATTTTGTTTGTGCAGAGATCTTGTACCAGTAACTCAATTGTATGTYAGTGTTGACGCAAGTACAAAGGACAGTTTGAAGAAGATTGACAGACCATTATTTAGAGAYTTTTGGCCACGTTTCTTAGACAGTTTAAAAGCTTTGTCAGATAAGGTATGAATCAACAAATGCTAATATATCACATTTACATCCTATAAGATACATTTGAAATCACAAAGAAATTGTTTTTGTTTTGATGTTTTTTTTGTTTTTTTGTTTTTTTTTACTGTTTTTAAGAAAGATTGAATACATTGTGATTCCAGGGTCAAAGAACAGTTTATCGTCTAACATTAGTGAAATCCTGGAACACAGAAGAACTTCAGAATTATGCTGATCTTGTCTCGTTAGGAAAACCAGACTTTATCGAAATCAAGGTAATTTAACCACTCTGTTCAAATACATGCCGGAAGTATCCCTTAAATGCCAGGGTCAGACATACTCTACACAGCTTGACTGAATCAAATCGAATCAGAGAAACAACCCCTTTTAAACTTGCCATATGGAGCCAGAACACTGAGGCTTCACAACATCATAATCAATTTAACTGTTGCTTTTCTAGGGAGTGACATATTGTGGCGAGTCMAAAGCTTCATCCCTTACAATGGCTAATGTGCCATGGCATCACGAGGTACCATGAATTATATGCATCTCCAATTCTAGTTTCAAATGAAATGGGATTTTTCTCACTTTCAAGACTAAAATTGTATTAGAAAAAAAAATACCATTATGGTGGCCGTTTTGAAAAAATTTTTCCAAAAAAATTATTTGCGTACTATTCAATAACATGATTGAAAACTATCTAATAGTGAAACATGATTATTATTGTTTCTTTGGTATCAACTATCATTACCATTGTAAGAATCATCATCACTACCAGTCATTGCAGTCTGACATTGTAATTACGTCCACATGCATCATCATCATTTGTCATTATCATCATCTCCCATCGTTTCCACAGGTGATTGGCTTTGTTCAGCAGTTGGCCGACCTTTTACCTGACTATGAATTAGCTTGTGAACATGAACATTCCAATTGTCTGCTACTAGCGAACAAGAAGGTCAGTTACGTCACTCTTCCTTGTTGTTCTTCTCGTTATTCTTTTTGTTGTTTTTAGCAGTTCGACGGTAATGGTTTGTTAATTGATTAAATATTGTAACATCTATTCAATCCTAAGTCAAAAAGGAACATTTTTACTTTAGTGCAAATTGAGGAACCATTAAAAAAGACAATGAAAAGCGTTCAGCCAGCGTTAAATATTCCTGTTGCACTGAAGTATAAAGTTCTAAATCTCTATGACAACGTTTTTGTAAACATTTTTTTAAATTCTATTTCAGTTTTTCATCGACAATAAATGGCATACCTGGATTGATTACTCAAAATTCCACGAACTGGTGAGTCTGAATTAACTTTCATCATTCATGTCACAGTGATTTGGACTCTATTGCTATCAAACAAATAACTTGTCAGGTTATGGCTTTCAAACACCTTTTATGGCGTTGCACTATCAACTGCTTGACATGAAATCTSTACATACTATCTTTTTTTTTAATTTCATTTCTTTGTTTCCCAGATAAAAACATACGATGAAAGTCAAGGAAAAGCAACGTTCACATCAGCAGACTACATGGCTGAGACTCCAGACTGGGCTGTGTTTGGTAATCAACACAGGGGGTTTGATCCTGATGAGACTCGATGGTATAGAAAGAACAGAAAAGATGTCAGCGGTTGCTAATAATTACGTCATGTTTTTTAGATGAAGTCATMTACTAGATGACGTCATAGATTTTGGAAAACCTTTCACTAAGATGTTCTGGCGTCGTTGATTATATATGACGTCAAACAGCAAACGATAACCACAAGCCGGCCATTTTGAATCGGTTTACAATGTATCATGGGATACAAATCTTCGTGTCTTTGGCTAATAAATGAAAATTCTCGTCTATTAATTGCACATTTTTGTAAGTTTTTTTCTGTCCATTTTGCTGTGCGATATTTGTCTTTCCCCTAGTAAATATCTGAGATTAACTACAGTGTACGCATTTTCCGATTTCCAAAAACTGAGACGATGGCACAAATCAGTGACTGAAGTCAGCTTCTATCTTGCTCACTATGTGTGAAGGTCTCTTAGGACAAACTTTAAATCGCTCTTCATGATTGGAATGCAAACAACGACTTTATCAAACTGCCAGTTTATTTATTTACAATTTACAAATTCAAGTAAACGGTGCCATTTTCTGTTCAAAATAAATAGAAAAAGCAAATTTGAATAGGACAGACTGATTACAATATGATGAGTTTTCATTTCTCATACGGCCACTCTGGGGCAAATATCAGCATTAAACTGCAGTATTAAAACCATCTTGTAAACAAATGCATGTCATTTGCTATAAAACATTAGCTCTTTTTCAAGCCAGTTCAACTTATACTATTGTCATACAACCGTCATGCACGCATTTTCAGTGCAACGGAGCCTTGTAAGATAAAATGGCCACAAATTGCATGGCTGTCTTGTAGCGTTTGACTATGGGGGTTGAAGCGGAATCCAGAAAACCGAAAGACATTTTATGCAATACCTAATAATTGACTTATGGAAAACGGAATAGCACAAAACAACGTAGGAAAAAAAGAAAGAAAACTTCAAAACCTTTTTAAAATGTTTTATCACGTAATACGGAATACTCATTGTACAAAATATTGCGCTTTAACCTCCGAGTTTGACTCGGGCTGAAGTGGAGGAAAGAAAAATTGAATTATCACAGTTGGTTCAACATTTATAACAGTTTCAAAGAAGTAGAATAAGGATAGCATAAGCCATGGTCACAGAACCTACAATGTCACAACTGCCAAACTTATGAATAAAAGAAATTTTGGTATTATTATTTAAAAAAGTCAAAATTTCTTAAAAAATGGGACACGGTCGCCAGGACAGATTAATAGAACGGACCACCAGGACGGATTAATAGGAGGGACCACCAGGGCGTATGAATAGGAGGGACCACCAGGACGGATTAATAGGAGGGACCACCAGGACGTATGAATAGGAGGGACCACCAGGACG